GGGTTGGATTTTAGGGAAAATTCCTTCATGGGAAGGGCTGCCAAGCATTGTGATGGGCAGTGCTGGAGTCCCCATCCCCAGAGGGATTGAACAGATGTGTGGATGTGGCTTTTGGGGACGTGGTGAGCACGGTTTGATGGTCAGACTCGGTGACCTCAGAATTCTTTTCCAACCTCAATATTCCAGTGATTCCACAATTCCCATCACCCCTGACTCCCATTTCCGCACCACACCCCAGTTCCACCATTGCACTGCCCAGTGCCTAACTGGTGCTGCTGTTTTTGCAGGGAGGAGAGCGAGAGCGTGCTGACCCTCAAAGGCCTGACCCCCACAGGTACCCTGCCCCTGGGAGTGCTCTCAGGGGGGAGGCAGACCCTGCAGACCGGTGAGTATCCCCATTCYCCTGCACTCCCCCTGCCCCAAAACCCTCCCAGCAGCACCCTGGAGGGTGCCAGGGCATCCCAGCGAGGGTTCAGACCCGTGGGGAGGAAAGATTCCCAAATAGGAAGAAGCAGAGGTGTAGTTGGGGATGTGGAAAGATGCCGAGACATCCCCGTGTACCCTGGAGGAAAAAAAAAACCCACAGCTCCCTGCCTCTCGAGCATGTTCAGTGCTTAATTGTTTGTTTCTGTGACGATTTTTTTTCTCCTTTTCTTTCCCTTCTAACGCTGCATGGTGCACATCCTCTGCCTCAGCTCGCTGTGCTGCTGCCGTGTGACAGCCTCTGTGTGAATGTGACAGTGACACGGCCTCTGTGTGAATGTGACAGTGACACAGCTGCTTGTTTGTTCTTCGTTCAACCAAACCCCTCCCCATCTGCCCCTGGGAAATCACCAATCCCCGACAGGAGGAAGGTTTAACCAAAGGAGAAATGTCTCCTCTCAGGTTTTGATGTCACTCTGGAGGTTTCTTCCCAAAATTTCCATCCCAAAAGGTTTCTCTGGAGGTTCCTTCCCAAAATTTCCTTCCTGAAAGCTTTCTCTGGAGGTTCCCTCCCAAAATTTCCTTCCAAAATTTCCTTCCCAAAAGATTTCTTTGGAGGTTCCTTCCCAAAAGGTTTCTCTGGAGGTTCCTTCCCAAAAGGTTTCTCTGGAGGTTCCTTCCCAAAATTTCCTTCCAAAAAGGTTTCTCTGGAGGTTCCTTCCCAAAATTAACATCCCAAAAGCTTTCTCTGGAGGTTCCTTCCCAAAATT